GACGCTCTTCCGATCTCAGCATGGCTGGCTGGGGAATTCTGGGAGTTGAAGTCCACACGTCTTAAAGTTGTTGAGGTTGAGAAACACTGGTCTAGGGGGAAGATGGGCTCCCCTCTGGTGGATATCTTCAACCAGAGCCCAAACAACCTTCTGCCATGCTTTCATTTCGATTCCTGCCCAGACCAGTGGGTTGGACTAGATGGCCTCAAGGACCCCTCCCGATTCTAGAATTCCGGAATCAGCCACTTGGTTGCTAAAAACGGCCCTTTTGACAGATTTCGGCAAAGCCTCCGAAGTAGCATAGCGAGCTTTTCTCGCGTCGGAAAAAACGCAGCCCTGTCTTCAGGGAACCGGCTCTCTGCAATTTGCTGCTTCCGTATCTCTCAGGGAGAAGCCAGCAGCAGCTGTAGGAACTGCTGCTCGGGTATAAAAAGATTAAGCGCCAGGCGTGGCGCGCGGCACCGGCCGACGCCCTCGACGAGGGTGTATAATCTGCTTAATGAGTTTTGCAGTTCAGTTCAGAGCCCTGCAAAGCGTTTGGTGGGGGAAACACCAGCCTGAGTGGAGGCAACTGGGAAAAATACGTACGTGCCCATCGTTGGCAGATTCTCTTTAAAAGGAGTTCCCGGTTAGCTAGGAGAAAAATCACCCTGCGCAATGTGGTTGGAGTGTTTTCAGCGGGGAGGTCCATTCCCCACCTTCTGGGGACGTTTCGGCGTGGGAGGTCATTTGACTGAACTGGGAAGGAGCCACGCTTGAAGCCCACTTACCCATCTTGGTGCCCAGGATTCAAGCCCCAATTTTCTGCTTCAAATCTGAGATGAATTCCATGCGGGATCTAAGTCCCTTCCATCTCCCTGCTATGCTTTTTTAAGCCCACCCATCACGTTCCACCCACCACCCACCACCCACCCACTCCAACAGCCCTCAATCCATTCATAAACCCTGCTAATTTTTTTTTTCCTTGCAGAAGACGGAGAAAGAGAGAAGCAGCACCAAAGAGCAAGCCGTGCATTACCTGATTTCCTGCGCTGGCTCAGGGTTGACCTCTATGCTTTCCCCAAAAAACACCGGGTACATTCGAGGTCTGATTTCAGAAGCAGAGGAGTTCAGAAGGACATAAGGAATCTATAGGGGGCGGGGGAAAAAAAAGGAAAATAAACCAGCAGGGGTAAAAGAAGAACAGGAGCAAATCCTGATTTAATTCAAATAAACATTCTGGTCCTCAGGAACCGCCCTAAATTCCAAGCGTGTTGCAGATGCTGACAGAGCCTCACAATTTCACAGGGCATAGCTTTGTGTGTGTGTACAGAAAGACAGATGATAGATATAGATAATTCAGTTACTTAAAAGGAATCAGTGAAATATTGAACATTTTTATCTAATTCTATGATGCTTATAAACTCCCGTTTATCCACTTTGGGCTGGTGGGATGTTTGCAGTTCTGACCCAAGGGACAAACCCTGACTCTTAGCTTCCGCTCCAAAGTTACAAGTCACTGGATCCTAGCCCTGAGTTCGAGATTGAACCACACCATTTTCCCATTATCCACACTTGCTTTTTCCCAGGAACTTTGAAACCAAAAAAAAAAGAAAAGAAAAAGCACACTCAGCTCATTCTTAATTAGGGTACTCGATTCTGCTGTGATCAACAACAGCTGGGGCGTGCACAATATTACGGAGAACAGCGTTTCCGATGTGACTCTTGCACAGTATGGTATGTGGGGATTTCACCCGATCCCGCTCTTGCGTGGGCGAGGAAAAGGGAAGGTACATTTGGAGTGGCAATTCACAAATCTGTCTGCTTTCACTGGTAACTTCATCTCAGCCAGCTATCTGTGGGGCACAGCAGAGGACTTTAAAAGACAATGCTGAGAATGTAGGGTTTATTCTTTCAACGCTACTTTGCTTTTAGGTTCAAGCATCTTCCTGTAACGAAAAAGAGAATTACAGCCTTCCTTCCTGAAGCGCAAATCTTTAGTTATTGTTTCAGTATCACTCAAACGCTTCTATTTGCTGAGCATCCTCTTGATTGTTTGGGTATATAACAATTCCCATAATCCTTGACCACTGGCCCTCTTGGCTGGGTTGTGGTCTGAAACTGTCTCTCTCAACCTCAGCAACTTTAAGA